CACCTCTCCTCCTCCTAGTTCTCCACCTCTCCTCCTCCTAGTTCTCCACCTCTCCTCCTCCTAGTTCTCCACCTCTCCTCCTCCTAGTTCTCCACCTCTCCTCCTCCTAGTTCTCCACCTCTCCTCCTCCTAGTTCTCCACCTCTCCTCCTCCTAGTTCCTAGTTCCACCTCTCCTCCTCCTAGTTCTCCACCTCTCCTCCTCCTAGTTCTCCACTAGTTCTCCACCTCTCCTCCTCCTAGTTCTCCACCTCTCCTCCTCCTAGTTCTCCACCTCTCCTCCTCCTAGTTCTCCACCTCTCCTCCTCCTAGTTCTCCACCTCTCCTCCTCCTAGTTCTCCACCTCTCCTCCTCCTAGTTCTCCACCTCTCCTCCTCCTAGTTCTCCACCTCTCCTCCTCCTAGTTCTCCACCTCTTCTCCACCTCTCCTCCTCCTAGTTCTCCACCTCTCCTCCTCCTAGTTCTCCACCTCTCCTCCTCCTAGTTCTCCACCTCTCCTCCTCCTAGTTCTCCACCTCTCCTCCTCCTAGTTCTCCACCTCTCCTCCTCCTAGTCCTCTCCACCTCTCCTCCTCCTAGTTCTCCACCTCTCCTCCTCCTAGTTCTCCACCTCTCCTCCTCCTAGTTCTCCACCTCTCCTCCTCCTAGTTCTCCACCTCTCCTCCTCCTAGTTCTCCACCTCTCCTCCTCCTAGTTCTCCACCTCTCCTCCTCCTAGTTCTCCACCTCTCCTCCTCCTAGTTCTCCACCTCTCCTCCTCCTAGTTCTCCACCTCTCCTCCTCCTAGTTCTCCACCTCTCCTCCTCCTAGTTCTCCACCTCTGGAGTTTTGGCCTCCTCCACTACCTCGTCTGAGACGTTTCCACCTTGGCCTCCTCCACTACCTCGTCTGAGACGTTTCCACCTTGGCCTCCTCTACTTTAGCTTTATATATATATATATATATATATATATATATATATATATATATATATATATATAGATAGATATATATATATATATATATATATATATATATATATATATATATATATATATATATATATATATATATATATATATATATATATATATATATATATATATATATATATGTGTGTGTGTGTGTGTCGTACCTAGTAGCCAGAACGCACTTCTCAGCCTACTATGCAAGGCCCGATTTGCCTAATAAGCCAAGTTTTCATGAATTAATTGTTTTTCGACTACCTAACCTACCTAACCTAACCTAACCTAACTTTTTCGACTACCTAACCCAACCTAACCTATAAAGATAGGTTAGGTTAGGTTAGGTAGGGTTGGTTAGGTTCGGTCATATATCTACGTTAATTTTAACTCCAATAAACAAAATTGACCTCATACATAATGAAATGGGTAGCTTTATCATTTCATAAGAAAAAAATTTGAGAAAATATATTAATTCAGGAAAACTTGGCTTATTAGGCAAATCGGGCCTTGCATAGTAGGCTGAGAAGTGCGTTCTGGCTACTAGGTACGACATATATATATATATATATATATATATATATATATATATATATATATATATATATATATATATATATATATATATATATATATATGACTGAAAGGGTAAGATTAATTATTCTAACACGAATCTGCTCAATATTTCTTATGTTTTTCTTCACTGTCGAGGGAAGTTGAAAAATTAATTCTCCAAAGTTCATTTTCACACTATATTTATGATCTGACGCATAGGGAAGCATTTCGCAAGACACCCCTTACATTTTCAAAGACAAATTTTCCATCCTCTGCCAATGCTTATATATGCTTGCCACCTGACTAAGGTCACTTCCATTGTCCTGAATTGAGACTTATCCCAGTCTACGTTGTTTTGACTTGTTTTGTTTAGTCTGCATTTATCACAACGAGGCTAAGGGTGGGTGTAATGACTCATGGGTCACGAAGGCAACAGTACCCACCCGCCATACCCTGCAAACATTCTCCTTGATCAATGGGCACTAATATCAAGTTACAACTCACTCCCCATTAACATACAGCACAACCTTAATGACTCACGCCCTAACAGACAACGAACCATCAATCTTGCCTGTACAGCTACCGACGTGTCGGACCTTAATGATGTAACTGAATGGGAATTAAATCATGTACTAAAGATGGGCAAATCAACTGCTCCTGGAGAGGACGGTATTACTTACAGTCTACTGAGATTAGTCTCACACGTACCAGGTAATCCGCCTTTAATGTTATACAGAATGAGTTTTAAGTGAAGGAGTATTACCTGATGCTTGGACAAAGAGTGTCATTGTTCCCATCCCCAAACCACACTCAGATAATTATAGACCCATATCTCTAACATCGTGTGTTTGTAAAGTGCTTGAACGTATTGTCCTTAACCGACTCATGTATCGTATACAGGGGAACCTGTCACCCCAACTGTTTGGATTTATGCCTGGGCTCAGTACACAACACTGTTTTGCTGAGTACTTCGCACATATTGAAGCTTCCCCTCAAGCAGTCTTCATCGACCTAACAGCAGCCTTTGACACAGCAAACAGGGAAATCATACTAGAACAGCTTGCTGAGCTAGGAATATGAGGAAAATTATTGAAATGGATAAAGGGCTATTTGTCTAATTGAACAGCATATGTTTTGTTTAATTGTGTTATAAACACAGAAAGCAAACACTTTGAACTGGGAACTCCACAACGAGAGATCCTCAGCCCCTTCTTATTCAACGTTCTAATACATAAACTTATTAAAGACATTTCCACTAATAATGAAGACACAGTCATTTGTTTTGCTGATGATATATGTTTACAGGCTGCCTCCGAACCTAGAATGCAAGTTCTGCTTGATGCTTTTGCTACTAGAGCTGAGGAATGTGGCCTCTTTATCTCTGTACAGAAAACTCGTGCCCTCATTCCGTGTGATATTCCACCAGCCAATTATCATATAGATGGGCGAGCACTTGAGAACTGCGAGTCTTACAGGTACCTTGGTGTCCCCATTAACGACCCTGGGTACCTTTCTTCTCTCAAGAGGAAACTCATGAGGGAGAAGGGAGAGATTAAGGCCCTTGCGGGTCCTTGTTGGTATCAATCATGGAATTAACGTGAGACTTGCTAGAATGTTTTATGTATCATTTATACGCTCTGTGATTGACTACAATACTCTACATTTCACACTGTATACAGACAAAGAGCTGAAATCTCTTGAAACCTTGCAAAATGAAGCTATGCGTCTCATCCTTGGGGCTCCAAAGTCCATGAGAATAGTTAATATGAGAGCAGAGTTAAAATTACGTACCATAAGTGAGAGAATTTTGTCTATTAGCACAGTTTTTGACGTGAGGGCATTGAGTAGATCTCGACAACACATGAAATTCCAAGCCAAACTTTTTAATATGCTACACTCACCTGAGGTCTATAGAAGAAGAGCGAAATCTGATTATGCATTTTATAAAAATGGGGCCAAGGGTGGATTTGTTCAGTTGATGCATCACGCTATTGTGATTTCTATGTGTAATGAAGTAAGGGCGAAGAGGTAGAACGGCCTATTGACAGAGCTCGAGTGCATGGGGGAATTGTGTAAAATTCTGGTTTGTGTCTTGGAGAGGCTGCAGGGTCCATGCAAGGTCAGTACAACTTCTGGTTGCAATTCTTTTAACCATGTCGTAGCTCAGTCGATTAAGGCAGCGTCTGAGATGCTCTCGGACGTAGGTTCGTCCGAGGTTCGTGGATTTGTTCATTTGATGCATCACGCTGTTGTGATTTTTGTGTGTATACAATTGTTTTTTTGCCTACTGCTGAAGACTCTTTCTTCGATTGTTCCCATGAAAAAAACAGCAAATGGCACTTCAAGGGGGGAACCCATTGCTACTCTGTCTATCTGTAGATACATGTTACCTTGTGGACTGATGAAAGGAGCTTCATTTGTGCATGCCTCAAGAAGACTCGTTAAGTATGGCTCGGGTAGGTCTAATTTGGGGGTACTCTTGTCTCTGTATACTCTGTCCAGGATCATTTGTAAGGTGGTGTCGACCGGGACGTTGGTAAATAGGGATTCGACGTCCAGTGAAACAATAGTTCCTTCAGGCTGTGTAGTTTTGATTATTTCTAGGAAATCTGCTGATGATTTTAGACTATAGTTGCTCGGAGTGTATGGAGTTAGGAGTTATCTTATCTTGAGGTTATCTTGAGATGATTTCGGGGCTTTAGTGTCCCCGCGGCCCGGTCCTCGACCAGGCCTCCACCCCCAGGAAGTAGCCCGTGACAGCTGACTAACACCCAGGTACCTATTTACTGCTACTTTACTGGAGTTCGTAAAGTCTTTTTTTGCCAGGTGATAGGTTGGAGTTGGTATTTGGCTGATTATTGGGCGTAGTGGATTACCTGGTTTATGTGTCTTTACCCTGACATAGGCATATCCTATCCTAATATCCTAAGCCATAGTCGTCTTGGAGTTTAGCGAAATGAACACTACCTCTCTTTGCGTTCATTACGGTAATAGTTTTGTTCACTTTGCGTTTAAGGTCTTCCACAGAGTTCCTCGTGATTCGTTGAAATTTAGTGACATTACTGAGGATGTCGTTGATTTTATTCATATATTCTTGGGTAGGAATCAACACAAATGGTGCTGTCTTCTCGACTTTTCTTATTGTTATGCCTTCCAGATTTCTCAGTTGTTTTGCTGCTTATTTGAGTCGTGGGGTTAAGATTTTTTATGAGTATCAAAAAGCTGACGAGGCGTTTGACCTGTCTTCAATCAAGTGCCCCTAAAAATCACATGAGACAAGCCCATGACATTTTGTGAAAATATATAGTTCACAAAATAAGGTGAAAAAGATTCAGATGACATGGCATAACTTAAAAAATATATATCTGTAACGTTTAAGTATATTTAAGTACACACACACACACACACACACACACACACACACACACACACACACACACACACACACACACACACCTTGTGTCCCATTGATACTTCACTGATGTTAAGTAGAATATTAGTTAAATACAATAGGTTTTATTGGTTTTTTGCTTTAAAATTTCTATCTGCATAATCTCATCGGATTTAGAACAACTGAAATAAAACACGCATACTTCTAGTTTATGTTTTAAATTTAAATTACTTTCTTGATAATCCCGTATTTTAAAGCCTGCCCGTCACATAGAATAGTTACTTGAAAGTCAATAGATAAAATCCCCCGTTGTTACGGCAAAGAATCAGTCTGTTATATGCAACTCGACCATCAAAATGTCTTCTTCAATCCTTACTTCTTCAATTCTTCAATCTTCTTCTTCAATTCTTACAAGCCTAAGTTGCAAGATTTCTCCACAGGTGGAGAGTCTTTCTTTTGCAATGCGGTTAGATCAAATGCAAATGTGGATCTTCCACTGTTTAAATGTTTGTATTCAAGAATGGAATCATTCTCCGACCCTAAGGCTCGCATTGTTTCGTAATAAAGTCCCGAAAATTTACGTTGAAAGTAGTTGGAAACGTGATATACGGCGTTATTATTTTAAATAAATGGTAATGTTACTTACCTTTCCATTATCGAATTATAAACTTGTCGCGGTATACTTAGCGACCTGACCTGAGCGCTCACTGGGACTCGCGGTATACTCAGCGACCTGAGCGCTCACTGGGACTCGCGGTATACTCAGCGACCTGAGCGCTCACTGGGACTCGCGGTATACTCAGCGACCTGAGCGCTCACTGGGACTCTCGCGGTATACTCAGCGACATGAGCGCTCACTGGGACTCTCGCGGTATACTCAGCAACATAAGCGCTCACTGGAACTCGCGGTATACTCAGCGACATGAGCGCTCACTGGAACTCGCGGTATACTCAGCACCATAAGCGCTCACTGGAACTCGCGGTATACTCAGCGACATGAGCGCTCACTGGGACTCTCGCGGTATACTCAGCAACATGAGCGCTCACTGGGACTCTCGCGGTATACTCAGCAACATGAGCGCTCACTGGGACTCTCGCGGTATACTCAGCAACATGAGCGCTCACTGGGACTCTCGTGGTATACTCAGCAACATGAGCGCTCACTGGGACTCTCGCGGTATACTCAGCGACATGAGCGCTCATTGGAAATCTCGTGGTATACTCAGCGACATGAGCGCTCACTGGGACTCTCGCGGTATACTCAGCGACATGAGCGCTCACTGGGACTCTCGCGGTATACTCAGCGACATGAGCGCTCACTGGGACTCGTGGTATACTCAGCAACATGAGCGCTCACTGGGACTCTCGCGGTATACTCAGCGACATGAGCGCTCACTGGGACTCGCGGTATACTCAGCGACATGAGCGCTCACTGGGACTCGTGGTATACTCAGCAACATGAGCGCTCACTGGGACTCTCGCGGTATACTCAGCGACATGAGCGCTCACTGGGACTCGCGGTATACTCAGCGACATGAGCGCTCACTGGGACTCGCGGTATACTCAGCGACATGAGCGCTCACTGGGACTACGACCATATATACTGAGGCATGAAGCAAGACTACGGCTGATCAGCAATAGTCTGGTCGCCTCAAGAGTAGATGTATGTAAGGCTTAGCGACCACTTTTGGGTTTGGAAAAAGTTATCGTTTGGGTGTTAAGGAGTTCTTATGGGGAAAATATACACACTAAGCTGAACCCCGTTAAAGAGTAAAGGTAAAGTCTGAGGTTGCTCATTTTCGGAGGAAATGTTAATTAGGACTGTGTTAAGTAATTAATAATGTCAGATATTAGTTCTTGGACCCGACTCTTAACGTTTATATGTATAGTTTCACTACTATTAGTTCAATTCCTATGATATTTACAACTGTAAAACGGACACATTTCGGACGTAGTGAACGAGATAAAGATAGTTACTGAGTTCAGCTTCTGTTCTCTGCATTGGTTCATTGGAAATACTCGTGTATTTCCGCTATTAACAGTTCAATTCCCACGAAATTCAAAACAGATGTATTTATTTAGGTAAAATAAGTTTATTTATTTTTACTAAATATTTAGTAAAATAATTTACTAAATATTTAGTAAAATAAATCACAATAGTTACCGAATTTCAGCTTATATAACCCACCTTAGTTCGCTCTTGTAGTTTCGCTATCAGCCGAATTTTCGCGGAAATTAAAAAGAGTCATATTCGAGATGCAGTAAATGAGATCAAGGCAGTTACTGAGCTCCAGTTTCTGTCCTCCGCCCTAGTTGTCTCCTGTAGTTTCCCTACAAGTAGTTTTGTTTAAGAACACTGATAGGAAGATATAATAACTTGAAAAGAGAAATGCATTGTCAAAGTCTGTACAAATGAAACTCGGTGAATGACTAAATACAAATTTTGTAATAAATAATTTGTAAATAACTTAATATATTTGTAACAATTGTACATTTGGTATAAAGAAATACAGAGAACATGTAAGAATATGAAAAGATCCTAATCTGAACTTGTAAAGAAAATGAATTGAACTTGCAGAGAACAACAACAACAACGTAAAGAGATCCCGTGAAGGGCGGATAAAGAACATGTAAGAACATTGTCGTAATTCCATTCACCTGAGCTGTATGGGTCTCGAACCGTAGACCCCTCGTGAACCCCCAGGGTTCGAAACCCCATACAGTCCAAGTGAAGGGAATGTTTATTTCCAAGGAAGTGTGGATGACAATTTTATGGTCGTAATATAACCCCCCCTCCCCCCTCCCCCAGGCCTCTGACCCCCCCCAGGCCTCTGACCCCCCCCAGGCCTCTGACCCCCCCCCCCCAGGCCTCAGAGTAAGAATGGTAAGAGGGAACATTGAATGATTTCTTCTTCTTCTTCTTCTTCTTCATTATTATTATTATTATAATTATTATTATTATTATTATTATTATTATTATTATTTGTAATAAATAGCTTGGAAATTAAGTAAAAAAGATGGGAAGTGAGGGGGGGGGGGTGAAATGCAGGGGGATGATATGGGTCTGGAGGGAGCTAGGGGGGTAATGGAGGGAGTGAGAGTGGAGGGAGGTGGTGAGAGTGGAGGGAGGTGGTGAGAGTGGAGGGAGGTAGTGAGAGTGGAGGGAGGTAGAGAGAGTGGAGGGAGGTGGTGAGAGTGAAGGGAGGTAGAGAGAGTGGAGGGAGGTAGAGAGAGTGGAGGGAGGTAGAGAGAGTGGAGGGAGGTGGTGAGAGTGGAGGGAGGTAGTGAGAGTGGAGGGAGATAGTGAGAGTGGAGGGAGGTAGTGAGAGTGGAGGGAGATAGTGAGAGTGGAGGGAGATAGTGAGAGTGGAGGGAGGTAGTGAGAGTGGAGGGAGATAGTGAGAGTGGAGGGAGATAGTGAGAGTGGAGGGAGGTAGTGAGAGTGGAGGGAGATAGTGAGAGTGGAGGGAGATAGTGAGAGTGGAGGGAGATAGTGAGAGTGGAGGGAGGTAGTGAGAGTGGAGGGAGATAGTGAGAGTGGAGGGAGGGGAGAGAGAGATAATTATCATTTCATTGCGCGGGAGCTGGAAATTATTACAATGATAAGGCCCATTACAGGCAGATGACCCCACCTGGAGAGTGGTTATTTACACACACATTCCAACGTCAGCACTTGTTCAAAAATAACTGTTTTGGTGAACATTGAACTAAGGCGGAGGGCAAGAGCTAGAGTTCGGTAACTGAATTATACTATTTCACTATGTCTGAAATGTAAAACTGGTAACAAGAGAATAACATAGTAAATGAGAGAGAGAGAGATGTGAAAACAAATTTAAATTCTGGCGGGCAAAGCTGCGAAGGGTGAGTATGAGGGGGAAGGTTTGGGTGGACTTGGGGAAGGGGGTGAGAGGTAGTGTGCTAATGGTTCTGTACAATTAGGCACTATAGAACAGGTTGTGCATGTGCAATATATAAAGGGAATGAAATGATCATGTCTAGTACACAGAGATTGAACAACTGGGCAAGTACGACACAGACCGAGCTATTGGGTATTTATCTAGCCACTGAATACCTTAAGCTCAATGGTGGTGGAGTGATATTCTGTGACTCTAAAAGTGCTCTGCGGTCCTTAAATAACCCATCGCAATGTATGTCTGAAGTAGCTTGTAATATTAAATGGAATGTAATTTTTGCCAATGATAATAATTCTTGTATAAAATTTGTGTGGAGCCCATCTCATGTTGGAGTTGGAAAACATGACTTTGTAAATCGATTGGCCAATGAGGCTTGCAGGAAAGAAAACACTGATTATGACTTTGAATTATCTAATGCAATTATTAGAAATATACAAACTACAGAAATTACTTCAGGGTTAGCAGAACTAAGGAATGTCCAGAGACCTGAAAGCTGCAGTATTAAAAGATATGGCAACTTTTGTAATAATAGGTATTTGTATGGTGAGCACAGTAACCGGACCAGGCAATGTGATGTAGTCATTGCGCGAATTCGCCTTGGCTATAGACACATCTGGCAGGTTAGTGAGGCTGAGCCACTACCAGAATATTTAGATTGTAAACTCTGTGACAAACCTTTAATGCATTTATTAGAACGCTATATTGTTGAATGTGAAACCGTAAAAGATTTTAGAACAATGGCCTCTTGTACCACCAACTGTGTAACTATTTCATTGAATCTGTTGTACTGGACGAAATCCTAACAATTTATCCAAAACTTGCTTGTCCATTTTATAAAATGAAGAACAATATGTGGAGAGGCGTGGAGTGATTGGAAAGAAAAGGGAGGAGAGGAGAAGAAAATGGGGGAGAGAGAGGGGGGGGGGCAGAATATTGTTTGAATGTTAATTTGCTTGCTTGCTTAAAATGTATAAAGAAAATTAAAGAAATTATGTTTAACTGTCTGAATTTACAAATATGAACTATGAATTTGGACCCAGAGACAATGGTGTTACGGTAATCTCCTGCTTCGGCAGTAGATCCTGCCTATTCCTTTACCGCCTATTCACCAACATGTTTGCATGCTCCAGTATAAAGAATAAACATCAACAACAACAACAACAATACGTGCTCAGAAGCCTGTGCCTAGACAAGACACCCCCCACTCCCCCCCTCTACACCCTCAAGTACCCGAGACACCTGGACACCTGCTGTCTGAGCCCCAGGGCCACTCGCCGGTCGACCAGCCCTTAACTACTTGTTGGAGACTGCCGGCGATAGTTACCTGCACATCAGCGCCCTCTACACTAGGTCTGGCAGCCTGCATATATAAGCAGCTCGCCACCGGCCAGACCTCTTTGACGGGAGACATCTCCCGTCACGCAGGGTGCAGTCGCACCTCCACAGATCTCCATTATCAGCTCTTGATACTGGCAATGGCTCAAAAGGGCCACCACTTACGGGCTATTCATGCCCGTGCCACCTTTTGGGTGGCTTAATCTTCTTCAATCAATCAATTGGCCAGACCTCAGAACACCCTTCATGCTCTCAAAGCCGTAACATATACCGTAGCCTTCCCGGGAAACAGTAGACGCGTAC